CCCAACTGCCCTGCAACAACATCATAGAATGTAAAAAATAATATTAATAAAATTAAATTTAAAAATTACCTTTAAAAAGGATTTGCATAAAAAAAATTATGATAGAATTCCTTTTTAATATGGAGCTTCTCCTATGTATTTAAAATGTGATTCAGTTTATAGAAATGCAGTTTACTCTTACAGACCCTCTGACAATGAAAAGCAAGTCATTTGTGTCATGGGCAGACAAATGAGAGAATCTAAAGACATACAAATCATTGCACACATGAGACTTGTTAGGCTTTTTTTCCTCGACAACATGATCATGAGTCGTAGTCATAGATGATAGTCAAATGACCAGAATCCCTGAGATTGCTCCCTCTTAATTTTCTAACAGCTAATTGTAAGATATCCATGCCAGTTGACCCATATAAGTGTGGCCACAAAACCAAGGGAGGAAAAAAGACTGCTTAGAGTCTTCTTCATAACTCCCCATGTCAATGTCTACCTGTATCTATAAAATTATATCCATAGATCTATGTCAGTTTTTCTCAAACTTTTTTCCATTATGGCCCCTTTAGAAATGTTTTTAGATTTCTTTTTCCTAATCTCCACCACAAACCCCCAATGAAATTTTAATGCCACAGATACACTGTCTGTGTACACTGCATATCTGCCTATGTACACTGCATATCTGTCTATGTACACTGCATATCTATGTACACTGCATATGTGCCTATGTACACTGCATATGTGCCTATGTACACTGCATATCTGCCTATGTACACTGCATATCTATGTACACTGCATATCTGCCTATGTACACTGCATATCTGCCTATGTACACTGCATATCTTTCTATGTACACTGCATATCTATGTACACTGCGTATCTGTCTATGTACACTGCATATCTGCCTATGTACACCGCATATCTATGTACACTGCATATCTGCCTATGTACACTGCATATCTGTCTTTGCGGAGCCACAGACTACTGTAAAATCCAAGATATTTTCTACCTCCCCTAAGAACCAAATTTGCCCCCTCAGGAGTGATTTCACCCTGGTTGGAGAATGCCTACTCTATGTATGTGTTACTCGTGTGCTACATATATGCATTATATGTATGTGTATATATTATGCAAACATAATATATGTGCATAGAAAATGAGAGAAATGACACATACTTTCTACTTTCTTCATCATATTTTCTAAGATGTTTCAACTTCCACAATAACCAAGTATTACTTTCAGTGGAGAAAAAAAAATAAAGCCTCTTATTTCGTGTGTGTGTGTGTGTGTGTGTGTGTGCGCGCGCGCGCGCACGCGCTAGTAAGGCCAGAGAAGGAAAACCACACACTTAAATGGAAAAAAAGAAAGGAAAGGAAAAGAAGGAAGTAAGCAGTTCTTAGAGAGTGAACACAAAGCAGCAGAAATGGTTTTGATTAAGACCAGTCATGGCTGTCTGACATATTCCAACACACCTGCACGGCAAGGCTCCCAGCAGAGATAAGACACGCTACAGCTAATATTTTTTTTCTTGCCGTGTTCATTCTGAAAAGGTGAGATCCTACTGGGGATAGGTTTGAAACCCAAACAGTCCGTCTGATAAACACCATCATCGATGTGGCTGAGAGTGCTGAGGATAAAAGGTCTAAACCTAGCCTTCCTCCAACCCAAGACCTCCCACGGTGTTGTGTGCTTTAAAAATCACAGGAACCAACAGTTTTGAAAGATTTGGATCCTGTTCAGAAAGACCTGTGACTTTGAAACTTTGTTTCATCCTTTAAAAGGAAATAAAGGTTCTGAAGACTGCTGAGTTAGCAACAGAGACCAGGCCCAGCAGAGTATGGGGTTAAAGAAAAGAAACCAGAGACAAAAGAGAGACTGCTGAAACCAGAATGCACTGAGTAGCTCTGGAAGTCTCTTTGGCCCCTTTCCACGGGATATAGAGCTGGCTTCTCAAACCTTCTCACCTACACTCTGAGGCGGTTTATTCTAGAATCAAAGCCATCCAGAGTGGGAAAAACCACCAGAGGGAGTGAAAAAAAGCACATATCTGAAACAGGTTTTACAAAACAACACAAGTATTTATTCTTACCACATGTAATGTGTTCCAATATATTCTAGTCTAGGCTAGTCTATTTCATTTTTTTAATGCTAGTCACAGCCCATGAAAATGATGCCATCGTCCACTAATGAGTCATGACCTCAGATTTAAAAATATGAATGTATTCCAACCCCTTTGGTCCACAGATGAGAAAGCCAAGATTCAGAGAGGTTAAATTCAAGGTCACAAGGCTGCCTTCTGGCAGAACTAGGAGCAGCTCAGACCCAGGTAAATGTTGGCTGTTGTTATCAGTCTAATAACTGGAACTCAGCTCGACTAATGCCTTTCCTATAAGCCCTGCCTTATTGAATTCCTGGTCAGAATTCATGCTGCCTCCTTTCCCCCTGCCCACACTATCCACGTTACCTCTGTCTCTGTCTTGGATTTTTTTTTTTTAAAACACTTGAGGACGTGGTGCCCTGATGTCTCCCTGTGAATCTGGAGACATGGTCCCAGGCCAAGTGGTCCCATGGCATTGTCCACATCACTAAACTCAACACTGTGCCTCTCTCCTCTCCTCTTGCCATGAACACAGCATCCTCTGAGGAGCTACTTTCCTTGAGGAAGAGTTGAGCTTGCTAACCCAGACAGAAGAACCTGATGGGCAAAGCTTCAGTCTGCAGGATACATTGTACAATCAGTGTCTCAGATTCACCCACGCATGGTAGCAAGAGCTCCTAAAACACTGACTGAATTGGTGGAGACCCTCATGGGCAGCTACTCTGAAGCCCCCTGAGGGATGACAACTGAGCACAGGCAATAGGAGGGGTCAGTTGTATGTCCCAGAGTCCTGGGACCCTCAGCAGTGCTTAAATAATGTGCTGCAGGTCTCTTATGACGTTTCACTCCATCAACTGGGAACTGATATACATCAACTGATATACAATTTCCAAAAAGGCTGAGTCGATTTGGAAGACTTTGAGGAAGTGGGCAATTCAGCCCTATCCAGACAAAATAAACCCAACAGGGGTCTGGGAAAAGGCTCACACTTAAAAACCAAAGCCAGCCTTTCTCACTTGACCCCTATCTTGTAGATTAAGAGATCGTGTTTCCAGAGACTCTTCTTTCTGATCAAGTTCTGCATCACTTTGTGGCATGCACAGGGAGGCGGTGAGGAGGGTGCCCTGACTGTGGGACACTATAGCAAGCAGACCCCAAACACCTTCCCCACCTTCCACTAAGGTGGCAGCTTGGCCCCCAGCCTTCCTGCAACTCTACCGCACGTCCACATCTTGAGGTCTCAGCAGCCTCCAATCTCTGTGGTTCTCACAAAACCATGAAGCTCAAACCCAACTCCAATCAGAAAAGTATCCATCCTCTACTTAAACCTCTGAGGTCCCAAACATGTGTTCTGTGTCCCCAAGCTAGCTGTCACACCACAGCTGGAATGACCTTCGTAAAATCGTGTCCTTCACTTAAATCTCTCTAGGGCCTTCACAGGTCCTTAGAATGGAAAATCAATCTCTACACCATGGCTTCCAACGGAGTTTCACAAACCACAGCCCATGGGCCAAATCTGGCCAGGGACCTGTTTTGATAGGTGAAGTTTTATTGGAGTACAGTCACACCCATTTGTTTACGTATCGTCCATGGCTGTGTGTGTGCTACAACGGCAGACTTGAGTAACTGCAACAGAGAACAGACGGCCTGAAAAACCTAAAATATTTACGCTTTAGCCCTTTACAGAAAAAGTTTGCCAACCCCTGGCTTGCAGGATCCTGCCTAACTTTTTTTTTTTAATTATTGTAATAAAATACACATAACATAAAATTTACCATTTTAACCATTTTTAGATGTGCAGTTCAGTGACAGTAAGTACACTGGTATTGTTGTGCAACCATCACCACCATCCTTGTCCAGAACTTTTTCATCTTCCCAAATTGAAACTCTGTTCCTATTAAATAATAACTTCCCATTCTCCCTCCTCCCAACTCCTGGCAACCACTATTCCACTTTCTGACTCTATGAATCTGAGTACTCTAAGTACCTCATATACGTGGAATCATGTAGAATTTGTCCTTTTGTGACTGGCTTATTTCACTTAGCATAACCTCTTAAGAGTTCATGCATGTTGTAGCATGCATCAGAATTTCCTTCCTTGTTGAGGTTGAATAATATTGCATTCTAAGGATAGACCATATTTTGTGTATGCATTCATCTGCTGGTGGACACTCGGGTTGTTTCCACCCTTAGGTTATTGGGAATGGTGTTGCTCCCTTAGCCACAGGGACCTCTGTCAATTCCCCCAATGTGTCACGCTTCCTTTCTCCCTCCACTGAGATGAGCTGTAGGTATCAAACATGCACTGGATTTCAAAGACTTCCAGAAACAAGAATGCTAAATATCTAGGTAATAATATTTTACATTGATTCTATGTTGACATGATAATATTTTGACATACTGTGTTAAATACATATTATGAAAATTAATATCTTCTTTCTTTTTATTCTTTTTAAAGTAGCTACTAGAAAATTAAGGTTAATGCATAGCTCATATCCTATTTGTAGGAGCAGCACTAGGCAGGGCTCAACAAACTTTTCCTGTAAAGGGCCAGATGGCAAGTATTTTCAGCTTTGCAGGCCATACTCAACTAGGCCATTGTCACACAAAAGCAGCCATAGACAATGCATAAAAGAATGAACACGTTCATGTTCTAAGACATTTTATTTACAAAAACAGGCCACAGGTCAGATTTAACCATAGTTTGCCAACCCATAATCCAGAATATTAATAGTATAAAACAGTTTCTAGAAAATCCTATTCTGTTCATCTTCTCAGAACCCTCAGTGAAAAGCCATGTTTCATTCAACGAGAGTGGAAAACACAAGTCTATTCCCGCCTCCTTGGCCACCAGGTGGCCCCTTGCAGCCCAGGGCCCCTCCGCTCCGGGGCACCCTAAACCACACTCACTTGGGCGTGTGAGCCTCATCCACGCGGTGGCCCAGCTGGAACTCGTGGGATTTGCTCCGATGCAGTGCTGTGAACCCTGGGATCAAGTGGATCAGCTTTCGGGAGGAGGGCGGTGGGGTCCCCGGGGGCTTCAGCTTGTTCTTCCTCCTTATGGGTGGTGTACCCGGCGGGGTGACGGTGACGATATTGGGGGTGCGTGGAGGGGTGCGGACTGTGTGCCGCTGCCGGGGCGAGGGGGGCAGGGAACGGTGGCCAGACTCCATTGGTGGTGGCGGGCACAGGCCTGGATAGGCGTCCACGGTGAGCCTGTCCACATGGGTGTACACGGGGGCCCCAGGAGTGGGGCTGGTGTGACAGTAGTGCTGGACGCACTTGGACTGGACCCTGGGGCTCTGGGAGAGGTGGGTGCGGATCCATGGGGTGGGCTCCGGGGTGCACACGGGATTGTTCTCCTTCCCCGTCTCTGTGGTGGGCCACTGGATGGTCCAATCTTGTTTGGAAAGGTTGCCTCCTGAATTGGAACAAAGGAGCAGAAAGAACGGATAAGCCGTGAGAAAGCCAGGTGGGTTACACTATGGGCACCACTGCATCACATGCACCATTACATCACATGGACCATTGCATCATATGCACCATTTCACCATATGCACAATTAGGCCATAAACACCTAAATATATAAATGTGCACCTTGTTATATCATGTGCACATTTACATAAATACAACCACACCCACTTGACTGCTAGGAAAAGAGAATGAAATCCCTTTGCTGATCATGTTACCCTCTCCCCCACTCAGCTGCCTTACCTTCCACTGTCCCCTGGGAGCCCACAGAAAAGCAAAGAAGTTAATTCTTGCCTTTTGAGCTTTCCAAAGGTCCCAGTTCCAGCAGTTCTGAGGTGATTTAAAGGATGTTCAAGGACAGCTTTTCCCTGACTTGGCAATTTTAATACCTAACCCCCCATGTGAGATACACAAATTCTGCAGCAGTCAAGTGCTCCCCGGTCCCTCCCTGTCTACTTCTGCTGGGTCTACAGTTGCCATGTACTCATTCATGCATTTGTCCAACAAACATTTTCTGAATGCTGCCTATGTGCCAAGCACTGTGCTTGGAAAAGGCACATCAGCAACACACAGACAAGGTCCAGGTGCTCTGGACTTATATTCTGCCAAAGCAGAGACATGATAGGCAAGCAAACAGGCTCGCTGAGGGATTTCAGATGGTTATTAGCACTGGGAGGGAAATAAACAGAATGATGTGATAAAAAGAGTGTGGTCAACAGCAAATGGATAAGCAGACTGTGGTACTTACAAACCACGAACTACTGCTCAGCCATTAAAAGGAACCAAGTATTGATTCACATAACAACCTGAGTGAATCTGCAGAGAATTATGCTGAGCAAAAAAAGTCAATCCCAAAAGGTTATTTACTGTATGACTTCATTTATATAACATTTTTGAAATGGAAGTAAGTTGATGGCTGCTAGGCATTAGGGATGAGGGACAAGAAGGTAGGAGGGAAGTGGGTGTAGCTTTCAAAGAGCAACATGAGGGATCCCGGATCCCGGATACTGGAGTGTTGGAACTCTCCAGTGTCTTGACTGTGGTGATGGATACATAAACCCACCCAGGGGATACAATTATATAGAACTAATCACACACACACACACACACACACACACACACACACACACTCACCAGTGAAAGTAAAATGGGAAATCTGAAGATCAGTAGATTGTATCAATATCAATGTTCCAGTTGTGATATTGTGCTACAGTTTTGTAAAATGTTACCATTGGGAGAAACTGGGCAAGGTGTACAAGGGATTTGTCTGTATTATTTCTTATAACTGCCTGTGAATCTACAATGATCTCAATTAAAATTTCAATTAAGAAATGAAAATAAAATACAAAACTACAGGAGGAGGTTACTTTCGTGGAGTGATCAGGGAAGGCCTCTTAAGGAAGTGACATTTACGCTGTCATCTGAAGGACAAGAAGGGGATCGCTGTGCCAAGAGCCAAGGACAGAGCACACCAGGCAGGGGAAACAGCAAAGGCAAAGGCCTGGAGGTAGAAAGGACTGATTTTTTTTTTAAGTCTTCCAACAGTTTATTAGAAAGAACAGTGACTTTTTAAAAAAAAATCCCCAACATCATGAACATAAATTGAGGCCTTCAGCCCTAGTAGAAGCTGAAGCAAAAAAAGAAAAAGAAAAAGAAATTAACAAATCCAATAGTGTATTAACATTTCCCACTCATTTGCCATATTGACAGCGCAAATGCAAGTTTGGTCTAAAGACAGTCTCTCCGGCAACAATGCACAGCCTTTCTCCTCCTGCACACTAAGAAACACAAACAGAATGGTCCAGCAATAGCACATGTACGGGCTTCTAAGCCATCTAAATTTAGGACAGTTGCTTTCCTAGGACTCTTTCTTGGGTGCCTTTGTGAAGGCAAGTTTCTGAGGTATAATGACAATGGATGACAAGCTCAAGGAGAGGCTGAAAGGACAAGTGATGGACAGACCACCAGGCCCATGGGCCAAGGTGCATTTTGGATTTTACACCAAGTTCAGTGGGAAGTCATTGAGAGTTTTGAGGCAGGGGAGACATTTCATCTAATGTTCATTCTCAAAGATCACTCAGGCAGCTGGATGGGAAAGAGGAGCCCGATTAATTAAAGGGTTGGACAGGGATAATGAAAGAGATGATCCCGGCTCTAACTGGGGTGGTGGCAGCAAAGATGGAGAGGGGCCAGCTGGGCATCAACAGAGGAAGAAGAGCAGGCAGGACCTGGAGGAAGGTAATCATGTGGGTCCTCCCATGACGGTCCAAGCAAGGAGATTTGGGACAGAAAGATATTGCAACTCATAGCTGACTAGCAATAACAATAATAATTACTATAATGACCGTAACAAGAGCTAATTGATAGCACACTTGACAGTTTACAAAATGCTTTCATAAACACTGACTCACTGCCCCATTTTTAATTAAGATAATTTCTTTTGCTATTACACATTCATTAAAGAAAAATTAGAAAATTCAGATAAGGAAAAAGGCATGTTGTTCTATAGCCTGGCCACCCCTACTAGGGTAGTGGAGCCTTCCAGATGGTTTTCTGTGCATATATTTTACCCAAAAAGAAAAAACGAAAGTGCCATAACACCTTATTTAATGATTTGTCATCTGCTTTCTTCACTTCTCATATTGAGACTGTTTTACATCTTAATTTTTGTGCAAATTGTGTGCAAAAGGCCATTTTGATCTCCATTTTATAGATAAGGAAACGGATGCAGAGATGAAGATGTGCCTAACGTCAGGTCACTAGAGAGACAGTAACTGTCAGCTGGGATTCAAACCCAGGACCTCGGCCACCTCAACTACCAAGACATACAGATGTGACAGAGAGCTGGAGCCTGTATTTGCCAAAGACCATGGACCACCATGGATCAATCAAATAGGAATAGATGCTAGAAAAAGGGCTCATTTCTCACCAGGGTCTCCCTTTTCTCTACCCCCAGACTTGCCAGAGCATTCTACCAAAGTCCCCATCATTACAATACCTACTCTCTAATATCTACACACACTCACATTAGCCCAGTGACTACAAGATTCAGCCTTAGGGTCAGATGACTTGGACTCCAAATCTAAGCTCCCCCACTTACTGGCTGTGTGGCCTTGGACATTCCTCTAACCTCTCTGAGCCTTAGCTTCCTCATCTGTGAAACGGGACTATAATAGGACCTAACTCAGGCACTACCATGAGAATCAAACACGATATAGCACAAGCAATGTACCTAGCACAGCTCCTAGCACACAGTAGGTGCTCCGTAAGTGTGAGCTGCTTTTATTGTAACTTTCAACACTATGGTAATATGTCAATCTCTCCTGTTACTCAGGCACTACCATGAGAATCAAACACGATATAGCACAAGCAATGTACCTAGCACAGCTCCTAGCACACAGTAGGTGCTCCATAAGTGTGAGCTGCTTTTATTGTAACTTTCAACACTATGGTAATATGTCAATCTCTCCTGTTTAGAGAGTATGTACTGGTTCTGAGAGCTTTACTATCATCATCCTTTGTACAGTGAGGAAGCTGGTGTTCAGAGGGGCTAAATAACTGGGAGTCGGGGACAGAACAGGAATCTGGCCAAGATCAGTTTCTCCATCACCCAGCAATCTCTGGATTGATGTATTGGCTCAGGGAATAAAAACTAATTGTCATATTAGCCTAAGTAAAACATGTTTAAAAAATCAAATCTATTTTTTAAAGTATCTTAATTATATACTGCACTACAAAGCCACAAATAAGTACTATAGGTATTATCACTATAAGCCATTACCCAAACTGAATAAAGGGAAGCAGTACGGGACTGGGAATCAGAGGGACCTCGCTTAGAATTCTGGTTCCACCACTGACCAGCTCTGGGATCTTGGGCAAGTTACTTAATCTCTCTGAGCCTCAATTTGGGGGTTCATAAAATGGGAATAATTATTGCTTTATTGGAGAATGCAGTGGGGATTAAATGTGTTAATTCATTCATGCATGTATTACACAAATACTTGAAAGCCTTTCATTTACCAGGCACTGTTCTAGGCACCAGGATAGAGCAATGAATAAAACAGACAAAAATCCCTGTGATTGTGGAGCTCACGTGCTGCATAGGGAATCAGAGAAGAAAAGGAGGTGAACAGATAGATGACATGTATAATTTATCATGTATTATATGTCAGTGATAATAAATGCTGCAGAGGGAAAGAAAGCAGGGCATAAGAATGAAAAAGGTTCTGGGGCTACTTTAATCAGAAAAGGATGAGGAGGTGGCAGCAGACATTTGGGCAAATATCAGAGTGAAGTGAGGGGCAAGTTCATGAGATAAAGTGAGTCAAACTATCAGACAGAGCCTGGACCATCACGATGATGCAGACAATGGGGCAGATGAGGATGGACTGAAACATCTACTGGGGATGGCTTGTGGCTCATCCCATCTGTCCCCAGGCATTGACTGTGCCAGCCCCTGCGGTTGAGTGTCTTTCTCTTCCCTGCCCTCGAGATGCTCACAGTCTAGTGGGAAAGGTCAACAACCAAATAAGCTCTCACTGCAATTCCATTCCTAGCTATAGACCCCAAAGAATTAAAAGCAGGAACTCAAATGCTTGCACACAAATGGTTCACAGCAGTACTATTCACAGTGGCCAAAAGGTGGAACCAACCCAAGTGCCGATCAGCTGAGGAATGGATAAACAAAATGCGGTACGTCTGTATGATGGGATATTCTTCAGCCATGAAAAGGAATGAAGGACTAATTCAGGCTACAATGTGGATGAACCTCAAAAACCTGCTAAGTAAAAGAAGCCAGACACAAAAGGTCGTATATCGTATGACTCCATTTCCATGAAATGTCCAGAGTAGGCAAATCCATAGAGACAGAATACAGACTGGCAGCTGCCAGGGGCTGGGGGAGGAGGAGAATGGAGGTAACTGTTCAACAGGCGCAGGGTTTCCTTGGGG